TGGGCCGGTTCACCCCTCCTTAGGCAACCTGGTGGCCCTCGGCTCCCCGGGGATCACCATATTGATGCCGAACTTAGTGCGGACACCCGATCGGCATAGCCCACTGCAGCCCAGAACTCCTGAGCTCAAGCGATCCGCCAGCCTCAGCCTCCGGAGTAGCTGGATTACAGGCTCGCGCCACCGCGCCCGGCTGTTGCAGCAGCCCGCTCCAGCTTACTAGAGCCGCTTCGCGCCGTGACGTCACCCGACGGGAGGGGGAGCAGCAAACAGGGCGGCTCGCGCGCTCGCTTTCTCTGCGCCTGCGCCTTTCGGCCTTTCCTTTTCCTTTTCCTGTTCGGCGTCCGAGCCACGCGAGGGGCAGCCGCAGCACCGCCATGGGCCACCAGCAACTCTACTGGAGCCACCCGAGGAAGTTCGGGCAGGGATCGCGCTCCTGGTAGGTCTCCGACACACACAGCCTCCCCGACTCGCTCTTCGCGGCGCCTGCCGGCCCAGCGCCCATCTGCACGAGGCCCGGCCGGCCCTGGCAGCCGCAGGAAGGAACGGAAGCGCCCGACAGCAGACAGAGGAGAGGGCGGGGGGTGGGGGGGGGTGGCGGGTAGTGCTTCTGGGATGAGGGGAGCCGGGAAGCGCCTCCGTCCGCCTCACCCGGCCTCCCTCTCTTCCTCCCGCAGCCGCGTCTGCTCCAACCGGCACGGACTGATCCGCAAGTACGGCCTCAACATGTGTCGCCAGTGCTTCCGCCAGTACGCCAAGGACATCGGCTTCATTAAGGTGAGGGCGGCTGTGAAGGCCCCAGCCATGCCCCGCGCTTTCGGTTACCCGCTGCCGCTGCCCCCTCCGTTGCCCAGAGTTCCCTGGCAATGCCCACGACCTCTCTCTCCCTCGGTCTCCTGGCTCTAACGGCCATGGGCAGGCTAGGAAAGGAAATCTGATGGAGTGTGTAGTAGTCTAATTTTGAGGAGTTATTAGTTAAACGTGAGGCAGAAAGTGGACTCTGGGTTGTGTTTTTTTCAAGCGCAATAAGAGGTTGAATGTGTATAGTTTTAGAAGAGCGGTGTGTTTGTGTGTATGTGTACACACACGGTATACATAGTACATGTATCTTTTTGTGTGCCTATACACACCGTATGTAATATATATGTACTCATATGGCATATATACATAGGATTAAATAGTGTATTTTGGATGTTCAGTAATAGTAAATAAATAGGGGAAGTGATCTGTGAGGGAGGAAAGGAAAATACCAGCTTATGTTTCTAAAATAGTAAAGAATGGAAATTGTCACTTTTTAAATGTGTGTTCATATTGTTTGAAGCCATGATTCCTGTGTTTATTAAACCAATGGTCATAATAAATTAACTTAAAAGGACTTCCCCTATCCATTATGAAAAACGTTCTTGATAATGGTCTGCATAATGGTGAATTAAATTACTTCTGCTGCTGGGGCTTGCATTTTAACAGCGACTGAGAAAGGTTGGAGTACAGTATATAAGCTGAGCCTGCTCCATAGATCAGGACTTCAACTCCCAATATTCTCAGTGATGCCTGTGGAATTCTACAAAATGATGCCTGCACATGTGCTGAAATGGGGAAAGGCTGGCATACTGACAGGCTTTCACAGATGAGAGTGTAATGATAGCCATTGTAGCTTAAAAAGGGATGGGGCTGTTAAAGTGGAATGAACAACTGAAAATGCTTGTTTATGCAAAATAGCTGTAACCTTAAATAGGAGAAGGTGTAAATTCTGAGTGAGGTATGTTGGTAAGCCTATCATATGTCATACTGACAAGTTTTTTTTTTCATTTCAGTTGGATTAAATACCTGTCTACAGAAGTGGTTTGAGGAGACTGGCAAGCTGGAATATGTGGCTGGATGAACTGTTCTTGCTATCCTTACTATTGTGTTAATTAGAAAGGGAGAGTTGTCCACCCTGACTCTCAAATATTGTAATTTCTGTTTGTTAATGCTGACGTGTAAATTATGTGACAGTCATATTTAACACACCTTGATATAAATGACACCTGTTTGGTTTCCTTTGTTTCTTTAATAAAAAACAGTTATCCTCAAATGTATTTGAGAAGAAACAAGCATAGTCTTTGATACAG